TTATATGCATTTTCTTGGATACTTTTGCTAAAAAGGAAACTGCAGACATTCCTGAGGTACGGTTCAATTAAAACCACATAAACTACTGAAAATTTATGAGAGTCAGTGTAATGTACTAGCCCAAGTATTGGAGTAGGTAGGTATGGGAAAACCAGGTTTAAGTCTCACAAACTGGCAGCCATAAGGGAGTCTGCCTCTTCACAAAGGGGCTATTACATGATGAGAATGGCCAGCCATAAGTTGCTAAAGGGGAAATTCCTTTCTACTTTACAGCATTCCACTTTTCCATCCCAGTTTTTTTGTTTTAATTGAAAGAACTATCCCAAAAAGTAAAGTGGAGCATGAAGCTCAGCAGGCACAAAAGGAACTCCACTACCTAACCTCAATTAAAATTATGAGAACCAAGAAGAAAACGGTCAAGGTTTTAGATTTAGATTTTTGTGAAATGCATAATTATGGGAACTAGTTTTTCAAGCTGAAGTGTCTGAAATTAAAAATAATAGATTTCAGCAGTAGAAGGATCCACAGGATCTACCACATTCATCAAAATGATGAAAGCAATTTTGTGCTGTCACAGTACAAGTTGCTCCACTTTTGTACATGCAATGAGACATCATGATATACTGTTCATACACAAGGACTGGAACTTGCACCATGTCAGCATGGCATTGTTTTCATTATTTGCACATCCTCCCTGTGGATGCCACTGAGTAACAATTAAGGCATTTGGTAAGGAAGAGTCAGAATAGAGTATAGATATGTATAGAATCAGGACCTATCTTTTGTCTTGGGGAAATTCTTACCAAGTATAAGTGGAAGAGCTTCCTTTCTAATCAGGGAATGTGTGATGCTTAATCCTGTAAACTGAGTAAACTGACATAAGGTAGGTCCCAAGGCCTTTTTTGCAGCTCAAGACCACCTCCCGATTATTACTGCTAAATACTGGTGACATGTTTTCCTATCATTTTGAGGCAGGAAACACACAAAAGTTCTAGCCTGAAAATAAATGTCATTTTTGAAAAGATATATACTTGTTATCATATTTTCATGTTTTGTTTTGAAAAAAAAAATCCTAATAATTATTGTAAAAAGAACAGGAAATGATCTTACTCCCTTTGCATTATCATTCCACCAACTGCAGCTCTTGGACCCAAGAAAATGTTAAGACTTATCATGAAGCTGATCAAACAGTGTGTAGCATTGAGTGTTTTGGAAGACATCTTTTTCAGTCTGGATTCTGGCCTGGCTTGGGACCAAATCAGCCTTGCTCAGCCTGATAGATGACTTCTTGTTGGAGAGGAGGAAGGAAGGAGGAAGGGTAGTTTTACTTTACTGCTTTGCTTCATATCTCAGCAGCTTTTGATACTCTATATTACAATATTTTCCTGGACCATCTGTGTGAGTTGGGAATTGGAAGCACAATGTTAGATTGATTCCAATCTTACTTGCAAGAACAATTTCAGAGAATAGTATTGGTTGACCATGCCTCTGCTCCCTGACAGCTGTTTTGTGAGATGCCATAATGCTCTATTTTATCCACAGTGCAGTTGAACATCTATATGAAGTGTCAGTGAGCAGTCATCAGGAGTAGAATTCAGCAGTAGCATCCTGAGAACATCTGGCCATGCACATGTTACACTCTGCTGAAGCAACTGCACTGGCTGACAATTAGCTACCAAACCAGTTTTACCTTCAGCATGTAAACAGTCTCAGACACTTGACAGATCACTTCCCCCAGTAGTGTCCTGCATAACCAGCAAGATTAACAGAAGACAACCTGCTACATTTGCTGTGATTTACAGTCTGCAAATGTTTGCCACTGTCAGCCTTCACAGGTAGACCAGACAGAAAACATGACCAGATGAGCTAATTCTACTTCATTGTAAGACTACATTAACATTGTAAGGCTACATTAGAATCTTGCAAATCTGAAGGTACGAATCTCTCAGTTTCTTTTATAGCCTGGTAAATTAGGGAGGCTCCTTTCTGAGTTTCTCTGCCTGTTATACAGCTGTGAGCTCCCCCCCCCCCATCTGATCATTCCCTAGACAGCATCTCTTCCTCCCATCTCCCAAGGCCATTCCCACATACCATTACAGCCATCTTGCAGTCATTTGCCCTCTCTGTAGTAGTACCAACTCTATAGATTCTTTCCCCCAGAATCTGTGAGGTGCTTACTATTATATCTTTTAATAATTTTAATTCTATTATTTGTGCATTGCTTTAAAACTAGGGATTATCCAGGTTCAAATCCACCCTAATCCACAAAAATCTCATTCTGAGTACTGTAAATGCAAGAATGCAGGACATAGGTTTATTGAGTTTAGCAAAGTGAATTAATTGTTCACTGCCACCTCTCTCGAGCAGCATAAACACAGGCTATACCCCTGAGCATCACTGGTTGGAAAACATTGGAATACAATTGACTATATATTAGGAAATGCCAGATGGTAAAGTAGAACCCAGTGCAGATTGTGGAACAGTTCATGAAATACTAGTGTCAAATGTACATATTAAATTTAGAAAATTAAGGAGAGGAAGCATTTGGGAAAATATTTTCAAAATTTTGAAGAGGTAAAGATTCAAGAGGCGTCCAGAACAAGACAACAGCTGGAGAACCAGGGAGGATGAAGGCCTTGGAGACGGAGAATATGTAGCAACTGAACACAGACTTTCAACATCAAACAAGAAATAACAATAAAAAATATCTCAATTTAGATGGTCAACACAAATAAAAAAGAAAAGGAAAATGAGAGATGTTCTAAGATCACAAAAAAATCAGGGAAAATTACAGCTAAGGCAGGATTATTCAAGAGTAAATATGGAAGATTCTAAAAGAAGCAAATGAAATTAAAGAAGCCACAAAGATTATATTTAAATGCTTTACAAATGGGATTATAGAAGGATAGAAATATTTGCAGACAAAGAATATATTCAGGAAGCAACGTCACTAATAAGTGAGGCAATAGACCAACAGTTAAACAGAAAACACTAGATGTAGCTGAAGCTGAAACGATTAAACTGTAGGAAGAGAAGCAATTGAAGTGCTAACAATTCTGTGTTAACAAATAAGAAGGAAGACTGTGTACTGAAATTGGAAAAGAACAGTATATGTACCTATACTGAAGGTGACAGATATAAGATATAATGTACAAATTACCAAACCATTGTACTAACCCTTCATGCAAACAAAGTTCTGCTTAAGATCTTACTAAGGAATAGAGCCATACCTGGAGAAAAAAATGACAAATAAATGGGTAGGTTCCAGAAAAGGCAAAGGGGCACAGGATCAAATAGCTAACATTAAATGGATAATGGAGGGAGCAAAACAATTTAAAAAGATTTAGTTTTGCTTTATTGATTATAGCAAGTTGTTGTTGTTGTTGTTGTTATGATGATGATGATGATGATGATGTAGGTCATGCCAGAATGTGAAAGTAAGGCTAACAGACATTTGGTTATTGTTTTGAGGAGTCTTTACAATGAGCAAGAAGCTACTGTTAAGAACTGAGTCTGGAGAAATAGAGTGGTTCAGAATAGCGTAGGGATTAAGACAAGGATGCATACTGTCCCTGTATTCTTACTGATTATAAGAATGGCAGAACTGAAAGCTGGAATCAAATTTGGAGGTTAGACCCTAATGAGATATGCAGAGTAAATTATTTTGTTAGCTGAAATAAAAATAAAAAATAAAAAAGATTCAGAACAGCTCATTGTGAAAATAAAAATGGGAAATGAAAAATCTGGGTTAATGTTAAATAGCAAGAGAAAAAGTAATGTCAACCAGCATGCTTAGTGAACCCACACTGAAGAAGTGAAGATAGTAGATACTTATGTTTTCTTGTGCTCAATAAAAATGGGGAGTATGAAGCATTAAAATGAGATTAATCCTAGTGAAGAAGGCAATGACAAACTTAAACAAGGTAATGAAGGCTAAGGTCATTGCTATGACAACAAAAATCAGAATAATTAAAGCAATGGCTTTTCCAGTAGCAATGTATGTCTGTTGAGAAAAGGAAATAAGATAGATGCTTTTAAATTATGGATTTTAGAGTCTGTTAGTCAGTTACTAACAGACCCATGGACTGGGAGAATCAATCAATATTTCCAGGATGAAATCAAAACTATTTCCTTGAGGGGATTATCAGCAAGCAGAAACATACTTTGGTCATGTGATATGAGCAGAAGATAGATTAGAAAAAAATGACTATCTTTTGCAAAGTATTCTTTGAGGGAAGCATAAAAAAGGGAAGAAAATAGGTAAGATTGATGGAAGGGACCAAGGATGTTATTGGAATGTCACTGAAAGAGCTGTGGATCATTGCTGAGGACAGGTTGAGATGATCGGCAGTCACAAGGTCTGGCTCAAGAATCTGTAACTCATGAACAAGCTGTGTTCTTTCATTACTCCACTGTTTGAATTTGTATTCTTAAAAGCCTTACAATTGTCCCCACTTAAATCTGAATTGATGTAGCCCACTTGTTTTAATGAACTAATAAATTCTACACAGTTCTTCCTTAGTCACCAATTATGTTATTTATAAAAATAGGACCTTCCATGGTACAAATCTAACACTAACTGTAAACCATTAAGATTTTCAACAGATCAATTGCATCTTTGGGAACTGAGAATGGAAATCAGAGGTAGAGCTGACTATCATCAGCACACTAGTGACATTTTGGCCCAAATCTTCAGTTTCATATAACTGCTGAAAAACATGAGAGCCACAAAAGAACTTTATAGAATCCAATAGATCAATGGCCACAGAGTGGGCCACAAGTCCCTTTCCCCACTCTCTGAGAGTGATCCTCCAAGAACCAGAAGAATCTTTTCTCTATTTATTAGAAGGGAGAAAAGCAAAGCACTTTAGATAACATGTATTTAAATAAATAAGAATACGTCCCTAACAATTTTTTCAATCTCTACACAATATAAAGGTTAAGCCATGCTGATAGGTTTACATTATTTTTTTAATGTCAAATACAAAAGCAGTGAAACATTTAGAGAATAAAGAAACTTTATTTTATAACAGTATTATGGAAGCAAAATATCACTTAATACAACTTCAAGCTGCTATAAATTTAATATGGCATCTTAACTATACAGTACATACGGTGAACAATAGAGAAAAATAGATATAGTTAACAGGTTTTCATAGAGACCTCCTCAGTAGCAAGCACCATTGATAATGGGCCTAGGCCATACCCTTGGTTCCTTATAGTCCTCAAAACCTGTTCCTATTATTAGGCAAACTACTTAAAAACAATAACTGCTCAACAGATGTGTCAGTTATAACATGAGTTAATGAGTTTTTATTAGGGTTGCGCAGCACTTAACATTCAAAGGCAAAAAGGCACTTCAAAGAGCCCAAGAGACCTTCCGTAGTACCTGACTGCAACTGCTAAAGTGAAACATGTCTATTCCTGGGATTGCAGAGACAATCCCATGGAAAAAATGAGTTTTGTTTAAGGAATTGCAGAGAGATGCTGCATGTGCTCGCTCCCACTGTGTGCTCTGAAGCTCTTTCTGCATTTGAATCCCAAGCACTGCACAGTCCTGTTTCTTATGTAATGCAAGCTTTCAGCAGATGCAATTATTTAATGAAAGTGTTTGACATTTAGCATAGTAAGAGAAAAGCATTAAAGTTTTAAGCTGCCTAAATTTGCTGGAAGGGAAGAGAGCAAATTCCTTCCAACTCTGGAATGTTGCAGACCACAGATCTCTTTGAAGAAACTGGTTGAGGATAGCGAAGTGCAAAAAGGCTACTTGAACAGTGCTCAGTCAGTAGAAATATTTTTATAACTAACTCATTTTTATATGATACCAGCACCAGTTCCCTCAAAAAAGCAGGAGACCCTCAGAACAAACAGAAAATGTTTATATAGGAATCTATATAAAATCCATAAAAGTTTTCAATTTACTATCCCTGCCAAGCTCTAAGAAAAAATTGTATTTTTTAATAAAAAGAATATTTTTCTTGTATTGTTTGATATTTACCTGAAAAAGTAAAATTATTCCAGTAAGAGTCTTTGAGACATTTTGAAAAGGCTATACCTAAATTAGGCAGGGTATCTTTTCCCTGCATATTAAAACTTTCAAGTAAACAGTGTTTTCTAAATATTTTTGTTTACTTTCATGCAATCAAGAAATCAGTTATACAAAAATAGCAGGGAATTGTGCAAAAAAAAACACAACAACCTCTAAACCTCATTAAAAAATCCAAGAATGTTAAGAATTGGTTATAAAAACAAGACATACATGAGAAAAGGTAAGATTTGGTGTTGGCAATTCAGTCTAGAGATGTTTGGTCCCTGTGGTGAGGCTTGGTGAATTCAGTGAAAGAATGGTGGGGATACCAACTTGGAATGATTTAAGTTCTTCATAGTCTCAAAGCATTCTTCATAAATCTAAAGAAGCAAGCAATTTAATGTAATTCTTAATGTTATTATAAACCTTAAAGTATATTAAAAAGATTTTTACCAAATTGACTCTTTTCCTTTTCAGAAACATTTTTCCTTTTTGAGGCCCAATGCTACATTTTTCTGATAAATTCCAGGCTCTCTCTATGACTAACTGGTCACATCCAACCACCATTAAGCTGGAGATGGACAGAACCTGCTACTTCATTCTGTAATTATAAACAGCAAGATTAAACTTAGATTTTAGAACCTGAAGACTCAACTATGGTTGAAAATCCTTATATATCTTTAGATAAACATAACTCCCATTTATGGAAATAACACCAGTTATTGGAGCAAGGCTAATTTGCTTCTTACTGTCATTACCAATATAACACTGGATAGGAGAGTATATGATATAAAAATTAAAATCTCCTCTGTCTAAGTATATTTCTTAAGTTAGAAATGCCTAGTTGTATCCTTGTCTTAAAAGAGACTGCAGAAACTAATAAAGTCAGGTATCTGGATAACTTTGGAAATGGTGTCAGCAGACTCAATTTCTAACCATTTAGGCCACAGATTGTTTTGAAATCTGTGGGTCTCTCAAGACATTGTCATTATATTGATCCAAAATTCTAAGGGTGGAAATATAACTGATACTTCCCTGAGACCCAGATCTAGTTGTGAATTCAAGACAGGTACCAAGAGCTTTTTACTACTTAATTTATGATAAAGTAATTCATCTGGAGAGAGCACAAGAGAGAATGCTTGGCCTCCATTATGCAGAAATTTGGTAATAAAATGTTTTGTGTTATCTGTACATTAAATTCAAGGGTTGCAATTTAGAAACCACAATTAGGGTTAGCATAAAGCTCCACATTTCCATCAAGATCACTGATGACTGCTGGAATATACTGCTCTTATAAGCAGCTTGTGGATAGCCACAATTTGATATGTCAAAGTATTTGAAAATCCATATTGTTATTAATTCATCTAAAGCATTTATGTGTCACTTAAAAAAGGCTTATTACTGAATAACGGGGCAACTTCCTTACCACATTTTGGATTTTTTTTTAAAAAAAATTGAATATCGGGGGGGGGGAGCCAAAATTTTATCTTTAAGGGAATGTAAAACATCTATTTTCCTGGGTTTTTTTAAACTGCAAATGAATGAAGTATCTCCACATAAAAAGCAACATTTACATTTGTGGTTTTGTCACCGTATTTCAGTGGCATAACCTAGGGGCTGCAAAAGAGCTCATCATGTAAGTGATCAGATACTTAATTTACCTTCTCCTGAATAAGAGCAGTTGCCCTCTGCTAAGTTCATAAGCTGTGTGACAAATAGCCATCCATAGGAAAACCTGCCCAGTTATTATTAAAAGAGCCTTCTCCTGTGTGGCTTTCACACTATGGAAGATGCTTTCTTAGGAGCTGTCTTCTTTAGAAAGTTGGTAAAAACATGTCTCTTTCACCAGACTTTTAATTGTTAATTATTTCAATGATTATTTTAAGTGGATTAATTTTATGTTTTCTACTCTGTATTTTCTTTGTTGCCTTGAAAGTTGGAATAAACAGAAAAGTGGGGTATAAATTCAATAATACAGATATAAAACTTTAATGGACAGTACGCTGTCCATTAAATCTTCCTGCATCAGGAAGACAACAAATACTGTATATTGGAACAGGAGATTGTTTTAGATTTTCATGTACAAATATTTAACATACCACCAGGTGGCATCAAATATTTTGTCAGTATTCTCATCAGACAGTTGAGAATCCTTTTTGCCATTTCTCCATGTTTTGACACTACAAACTGCCTTCATTTCCTTTCCTTTTTTGTTCCTGTACTCTTGTTTCCTCAACCTACCTTTAAAAAACCAAAATGGGAGAATAAAATCATTACAGAACCAGAGAGGATCCATTTACCTGCCATCAGGAATATTCAAAGCCAGGTTTTCATGTGATTGGTATCAATAATCAGCACTTCTAAGGCCATACTGAAGAAAATCCCATACAATTAACTATTATATCGAATACTGTTATATATGTTATGGGTTGAAGATTCTTACCTTAAAGGTCTTCTTCTTCAAGTTCACTTTCCTTATGCACCACTACTCTTGTTACAGACATGTCAGGGTGCTGCTCTTTGGCTTCCTTAATGGCTTGTGCCAGTGCCTGCAATGTCAGGAAAAATGGACTAACTCTGGGAATTAAAATTAACAGTGGATTTAATGCGTAATGGCTAGCAAGGCTCCTAACACTAATCTTCCTGGAAGGAAAACTGGACAAATAAAATATACTTTTCCCTAGTAACTTTGTATGTTCTAAGCTGTGTACTATACTGAGGTACAGGTAATCCTCACTTAACAATGGTAATTGGGACTGGAATTTAAAGTGCAATGTCATGTGACTGCATCACTTAGCAATGTCAATCCCGGCAATTCCTGTTGCCCTTGTTAAGCGAAAATTGTGAGTTATTAAGTGAGGATCTCATGACTGTGACCTGTGACATCCTGCCAGCTACCCACAAGCAAAGTCAATGGGGAAGCCAACTGGAAGTTGCAAGTCCCGGGCAGCTTGCAAGCAGGCAGGAGGGCAGGTGAGTACTATGGAGTGAGGCGATGGGGTGCTGCAGCGAATGTGTGCAGGCTGGGGAGGGATTGCTGCAATGCCGCATGAGTGCATGCGGGCTGGGGAGGGGGTGCTGTGGCGCCACACAAGTACATGCAGGCTGGGGAGGGGGTGCTGCAGTGCGAGCACACTACAGAGTACAAGTTCCCTAGGAGAAAAAGCAGTGGGAGCAATTTGCAACCTTCCTTGCCACTTCCCCAGTGATTTTGCTTGTGGGAAGACAGCAGGGAAGATCGCAAATGGCGATCAGGTGACCACAGAAGTGGTGCAATGGACAGAACTTCTATGTAATGGAATGTATCTATGAGGAGGAAAGTGATGTGGGAGATCAAGGCTAGCAGGAAGGAGGGGGTACATTCCAGCAGGGGAAAGGAGACAAAAGACAACACAGTCTGCAGGGGGAGCATGAGAAGAGAAAGAGATTTGGGATAGCCACTCCCTAGAATCTCCCAGGGTATATCCACTAGTTGCTGTAGTATAGATTTAGTCTGGCAAGATTCTGTCTATAAGTGTAAGCAAATAAAGGAACTGTACTTGACTGGACCATTTCATCGTTGTTCTTGGGCTGGGCCTGACATTCGAGGACCAGTGGTAAGTACTACTCATTCAGTGCCATCACAACTTCAAACAGTCGATGAATGAGCACTCGTTAACCGATGACTACCTGTCTTTTATTTATTCATTAGATTCTTAAATACATAACTCAGCAATGAGCAATCCATACAAAAACAATATTTTAAAAAAGTAACCAATCTAAATAGTCCAATACAAGAAAAAAAATAACCAAGCAATACATAACATTGGGCTCCCTTAACATCCTGGCCCTAATACTTGGGGGAAAAGTCAGGTTTTAACAGTTTTCTGGAAGGCCAAGAGGGTTGGGGCCATCTCAATCTCAGCGGGGAGGCTATTCTATAGGGCAGGTGCTGTGACAGAGAAGGCCCTGTTTTATAGAAGGGACCTTGAGCATGCCCAACCTGTCAGATCTGGTGAAACGGGCAGAAACCCTCAGAGACTGGCAGTCCCAAAGTAACCTGGGCCCATATATGTTGGGCTTTAAAGGTGGTAATCAGCATCTTGAATTACACCTGGAAGCATACTAGAAGCCAATGCAGTTCACTCAGCAGCGGTGCTGCACAGACAAACCAGAGTGCCCAAAACTGCATGTGCTGCCATATTCTGTACTAGTCGAAGCTTTCAAGTATTCTTTTCTTACATCTCATGTACTTCAAATATTTATAGCATATTTTTCAGTTGAGTCTCACTAAAGTATTATATTAGCAGCTATAAATACATTTACAAATTTGCTGAATGATATCAAGTAAACTATTATTAAAAGTTTATAGGAAGCTTGTCAAAGTAAGGATTCTTTTTCATGTTCTGTTTTGTAAGGTACAGAAGACCACTCAGTTGTGTATGTATATTAAAGCAATTATTTTCTTCTACTAGCTTCCAATATACCTTCTTCTAGTGCTTAGCCTATTTTTCTCTACTTGAGCTGATCTAGAATCTCATTTATTTTATTTTTTATTTATTTATATTTCAAATTTAGATACTGCCCATCTCACAAAAAGTAACTCTGGTTTCACCAGATTCATACTAATGAAATACAGTTTACCAAACAAACAAACAATGGGCACTTGGAAGAGTTAAATATTTCCCTCTTGTTCATCACTCCTACTCTACAATTTTGTTTTTTCCTTCCAATTTGTGCTAATGTGGTAACTGCAGAGTTTGGAATATGTGTTGCCAGAACGCTAGACAGTAATTTTACTCTAAAATTTTACTTGTGGATGTGGAAAAGATCAGGAAATTTACCCAAGTGATCTTCTGAAAATATAATTGGAGATAAACAAAATCAATGTTGGTTAAGCTTTTATAGATATATTGGGAAATCTCAATAGGATCTAAGCCAAAATAAATAACAATTGCTTTTTATATACAGCTATACTAAACTTCAGTTGAAAAAAAATGCAAAAACAAACCCTAAAGAACAGCATGAAGGAATATATAAACACATCTTATTTTTTCTGCCTAACGTTTCTTTAGTAGTCATATTTCAGAAGGTATGGAAATTAAAAGTATAAAGAATAAAACTGGATGTAAAAAGATTCCTATTTAAAGTTCTATCACAGACTGCAATCTCTTGAAAAATTGCTCAGTATACTACTGAATAAAAGCATCCATGTATATATATATTGAAAAAACAAATATTCATGGAGCCATACAAAGATTAGTTTCAGACCCACTG